GTTGGTGGCGTTGTTTTTCACCGTTTGGCTGTGGACGTCGAAGAACAAAGAACCGTCAAGCGCGGCCATATTTTCTCCTGTGCCCGAGTACGTTCCTCGCAGGGCGTCTTGGCACATGGGGGTTCTCGTCGAAACCCCTAGACCATTGCTCACTGAACGATGGCTGAACGATGGGTGACCAATCAGTGTAGCACTCCCAAAGAGATAAAACTTTTTAGATGCGCTGTACCACATGATTGCACTCGTACGTAGGCGCAAACGTTTGGTCCGCCGAACGAGATGTACAACAAAATATCTGAAACATCTCCAGTCGTTGTTGTGTGCTGCGGGAGACGCGCGGCTACACGTCGCTCGTCCATCGCGCTTGCTGTGCGGTACAACACGCCTCCTGGTGTACTAGGCCCGAGGGAAAAACGTAGAGATCATTGATTGGCTGTTCCTACCTCTTAGGAAAGCGCGCATGCTCAGCATCTGCGGGACAAGGACGTTCGAAACGCGCACATAATGACTCCACGGCCGCGGTGAACGGACTCAAGTTGGGCCACGGATGGGCGGCCACTAGTCTCCGAGGTCACTTACTGTTCAGCCGGAAGTATCTCGTCTGGCACTTCTTGGCACGGGCTCTGGCCTCCGCCACTCTTTGCGTTGCGACCTCCAGTTCCTGTTCCTGTTGGGGGTGCCAAAACAGAGCAACGATGGCAGAATTGAGTGCAGGACGTAAGCGAACCACAGTCAAGCACTCGCTAGGGACAGTTTAATAGTTTGGGCGGCAATGCAATGGAGACAAATGACGTTTACTCGTCGCATGTTCGTTTTCCGCAAGGTTTTTTGCGTCACATCCCCTGTTGTGTGTGGCCGCAATTGCGTTCGAAGTCATAACGAGCAGAAAAATGTAACGAAAAATATTCGTTGCAATAAAGAAAGCTAGTTAGTATGGGGCGCACGACGAACTGGTACTGCTACCGTTGCTGCTGCTGCAGCTGTGGATGTATAGTAGTCTAGACGCAGTAGGTCGCCGGAGGCAACAACGATTGACTCCACATGTCACGCAAGCTGCGTATCGAAGACGCACTACGTTCTGCAGTAGCCCCTATCTATACGGCGAAGCGTCTAGGTGTGAACTTTAATGAATTGGGGTTGGCGAAAAATGCTCCGCGCTAATATATACCATTCATATTAGCACAGACAGAAAATAAATGAAGAAGTAACGGCCGCTCGGGTATCCCCGTGCGTTTCGGTTGGTAGAATACAGAGCCCTGATTATGGTGTAGAATACCCTCCGGTACAGGTTTGAATTTACGGTCGACGAAGGAAAGCGACGGCTGAATTCTAATTCTTGTGCATCCAAAAGTGACGTAGCACGCGGTAGAAAGAAGGTGGAGTCGAACACACGAAATCTCCTGTTGTGCGGTCTTCCTCCTTCATGACCCCGGCTGATGATGCGCCCAGAACACAGCATACCGGAACGTGTAAGAAAAGCATGAACTCCAGAATAAATGGGACGACAGACACAACCAAACAATTGCATCAAGAACAGGAACGAAAAAAACACAAGTTCGCACACCCTGAGAAATACTAACGGCCGTCACACGCAGCAAATTCCATCCTACAAGCAGCAGTGGAGTGTCTCTCTTCAATCACATCCGAATCTACACCATGACTACAAAACCCAACAAAGTGGTACGTTTTTCTCTCGTTTCGTCTTTCGCTGCTGCTTGCCACCGCTGTTCCCCCCCCCCCCCC